AGTCCCATCTCCCATGATAGAAACTTCAGAGGGAAGAGGGGGAAAGAAAAAGACAACAGTCAAATATCCTTGAAATATTCTCCCAGCTGACAGCAATTGCTGCCTCAGGGATTTCTCAGCTCAGAGATTATATAAATGTTTCCAACAGCCCTTGATTGACTTATCTGTCACCAAGGCACCTAATTGCTGTTCTAACCCCTATAGACGTTTGGCAGATGCAATATCTCGTGGTGATGAGTTTCACCATTTAAAAATGTGCTGTGTGAAGAATTGCCTCATTTTGTTCATTTTGATAATTGGGTTTGATGTCATTTAGTTCTTATACTTTGAAACACAGTGAACAGTCATCCAGTACTCATCTCCTTCCCAACACTCCTGATTTTATAGACTTCCATTGTGTCCTTCCCCAGTCACCTCTGTTTCTCAGGAAAGTGCCCTTTAATTTAATTGTTCTTCAGATGGAAACTATCCTGTATCTTTGGTCCAGTCTGGGTCCATTCTATCCTTTTTGAGCTGGACTAAGCAGCAAAACAAGCAGTAGTTTAATTACACACACATTATAGAAGTACTTAGACCATGGTTAAAAATTCAAGGCCATTCTCCATCTCTTCCATTCTCCATTTCTTTCCCCAAATTCCCTAATGCAGTTTTCACCTCTGACTGCTATCAAATATTAATCCAATGCTTTCATATTATACCTCATTTTCATTTTTCCTTTTGCCTTTGCCTTTGAAATGGTTTGGGTTGGAAGGGACCCTAAAGACCATCCAGTTCCAACCCCCTGCCATGGGCAGGGACACCTTCCACTAGACCAGGCTGCTCCAAGTCCCATCCAACCTGGCCTGGAACACTCCCAGGGATGGGAATCCTCAGCTTCTCTGGACAACCTGTGCCAGTGCCTCACCACCCTTATCTGTGCCAAGAATTTCCTCTTAACATCCAATCTAAACCTACTCTCTTGATGTGGCTGATATGACCTCTTCATCCCTGTGTGGCGAGAAACTGACTCTCCTGACTTGCTTTTATCATAAATTCTTGCATGTGGGGAAGATTATCCTTGTGAAATTGCAAAAAATTAAATCGTTCAGAAATAACCAAGAGTGGGTAATTTGCAGGTTTTTCTTCTCCTTCTCTCAACCCCTACTACCCTTGTTTTAAAAAATCAGACACAACAAGAATTCACAGCAATGTTTTAGACAGGTTTGTGCATGTATTTGGTACAAACAAACAAAAATATGTGCATTCTGTTTCATAGAGCTTACATCAATCTGACAGAACCTGAAACACAAAACAGAAATACTCTGGCTAATAAATACATCTGGGGATGAAAAATAAAAATCTATACATAAAAAATTCCAATGTCTGCTAAAGAAAATGTACACTTATATACACACTGTAAACAATAGTAATGCAACCCAACTGCAGTCCAGCTCAGGCTGACAGGGACCTTCCTTCCCTCATGGACTCATGAGAGTCCCAAAGTGACATAAAATTTTGTCATCCATCCTCAACACTTGGTTTCTTGAAGCAGCAAGGTCTGACAATGCAATAGTGACACAGAGCCAGTGCAACAATGTGAGATCTGCCATATAACCAAGGTACAGGTGCTTTGGGAAATGGCCTGTGTGGCAAAATTGGAGAAATAGGGCCATACCCTCAGTTGGTCTCACCCTTGTGGGCCAAGAGAAGTCAGTGGGATCAGACTGAATTTACCTTCTGAAGGTCTAAGCTCAATATTTCAAACTAGGGTTAACTTGGAGATTAAGGGATTCAAAGAGCAATGATCAATTTTAGATGCTCAGGCCATATTTCACACAACATTGTCCTTCCCCCCTGCCAGCAAAGGCAGCTCTGTCTACTCTAAATGAAGCTTTCCATGAGCAGTCTCAGAGTCCAGTTCTGGCACTGCATCTGCTGCAAGATGCTAAATGAAAGAGGAGCTCTGGCTTAGGTGAGAAACAATTATTTTGCCTGAATGCAGCTCAGTAATGCTCAAGGCTTTCCTACAGCACCTTCTAGGGCATCTCTTGGGGCCAGATCAGATAAGGTAAGTAACTGAGCCAGAATTTGGGTGCATGTGTTTCTGTGTGCATGTGTGTGCTTAAACAGACCTTATTTCTTCCCTGTAGGTCTGTAAAAACTTGGGATGGAGGGGCAACAAACCTCCAGACTAACCTTTCTCCCTTCTGGATGTTTGCAAGGGGCTAGAGGTTGTCAACGTAAATATTTCAAAACTGGAAAAAAAGAAAGAGGTATATGCAAAAGATCAGGGAGAGGTGTAAGCAAAAATGTCAACTCATTTATGGGAATGAACTGCTTGCCAGGAATTGCTAAATCTTCATTTATAGGAGGATGTTTGCCCACTTGTAGGAGAATGTCTGGTATTTTGGAGATGCCATGTATATATAATAAAGCAAATTGTGTATATCTATTATATGGTCATGGATGCAGAAGTTTCCATGTGGTGTGGGTGTCTGGCTGTGGAGACACACCAGATAAATCTGCTCCTGAGCATCAGAGAGTGTTTAATGGCAAATATCTGTCTTCCCCCTTGAATAGACTTTCACTTACGATATCTGTATCATCTGATCCTAATCTGTGCCCCCAGATTGCCTACATTATGTACTAGCATGTGTTAGACCTCCAAAGCAATGTCACCAGGGTCCAAAATGTGGCTCCCTGGGCGATGGGTGGGGGTGGGAGGAGTAATGATTCACTGTGACCTTCCAAGTATCACCTCCTACAGGGATCCCCGAAACACCCAGGAAACCAGTGGCAGCTGCAGTCCTTACACTGAAAAATGACCTTCTGTGTCACCCCATCATCACTGTAGGGTCTTGTTTCCCTCAGAAGCCAAAGAAACAGGGGAAAAAAAGGATGTATTTCCCCACAGAATTTTCCATGGGGTGTTGGGTCCCTGCTTTGGTGGGGTTTAACATCTCCAGATGGCAATCTCTGGCTGGTTTTGCAGACACTGGAGAACAAGCAGGTGGTAATGAGTCTGGGTTCAGTGTAAGTGCAGTGTTGCCCATGTGCTTTGGTAGGATTTTCTGCTGGGAGGGAAATATTTGGACAAAATCTGCTGGTATTTGTGCAATAATTTGTCCAGTTTGGAGTCCTGCATTGAGTAAAGGTGTTAAAGGTGTTGAGATAGGGCCAACTCCTGATACCATGTCTCAGTATACACTGTGTAAAAAAGTAAAAAATAAAAGAATTCCAAATCTTCTTCTGTTTTGTTTTCTCTTAAAGCAAATGAACAGCAGACATAAATGTGTCATTCTCTCTGCTGTGCCTCAGAGTCTTTCATCTCCCACAGCTTACTTAAACTGATGATTGCTCTTCATGAGTCATTATCTGAAATTTGAACCAGTCTGAATTTTGAAACCAATGCCTGCAATACATGGCCAAGTAGAGCTTGAGTTACCATTTTCTATGTTGTCTGGCCAAGATGGGTCTGTCATGGCTCCAGCTCCCTTGAGGTCCCTGGAGGAGGCCATGGAGCCCTCCTGAGGGGAGCTCACACTCTGGGACTCTGAGCAGGGAAAAAAGCACAATCCTTATTGACAATGCTTTTGACCACGTTAATGGACACAACCAAGGGCAATTGTTGGTAGCCACCAAAGGTTTTATGTATCAGGTATGTGGGAAATCCCTTGGAAGGAGAGTCATAGGCATGAGAAGATGCATCTACCCAAGGGAGCTCCAGCGGCACATCAGCTCCATTTTAGCTTTGACTCCATGGGTAGTAGAAACACCTTCCAAACTCAGCCATCCCAAATTTCCTGGGCCACAGTGCAGGCTAGCTGAGGACCTGAATCATTGAATCATTAAGGTTGGAAAAGACCTCTGAGATCATTGAGTCCAACCATTAAACCAGCACCACTGTTTGCCACTAAAACATGTCCACAAGTGCCACATTCACATGCCTTTTGGACACTCCCAGGGATGGTGACTCCACCACTTCCCTGGTAAGCCTGTGCCAGTGCCTGACCACACTTTCTGTGGAGAATTTTTTTCTAATATATAATCTAAACCTCACCTGGCACAACTTGAGGCCATTTCCTTTCTTCCTGTGCGAAGCCCCTGGAATGCAGCTTTATCCCACATTTTTTGAGAGAAACAGCTAGAGCAAGAAGGGCACAGAAAGTTGGGGACAACCAACAGCAAAAGGAGTACTTTTCTTTCTGTATCACAGATGGATGTGCACTAAAGCAAGGTGGATTGCAAGTGTTTCAATGGAAAGTGAAATGAGAAATGCTTCACAGGCTGGAATTAGAGGAGAGAGACCTGCACTCACATTGGTGTCTGTGTACACACCTGGATTACTCCTCTGGCCTAAAACTAAGTTACATGGAAGGGGCAAAGCTTTGACCACTGCAGAGATGATGACTAAGAGCCAGGATCCTCTCACTCTTCTTGGGACTACTCTAGGCTGCTCACCCTCCAAAGCCAAGGCTTCAGCTGGAGGTCCTCTCCAGCCCTGTAGACCCACAAGATCCCAACCCACCATATAAAGGATCAGATGCCAGACACTGCTTGGCAGTGTCCTTCCTGGAAACTGCATCTGGATGGAAACATGATCACATGTACTAAGGCAGGGGTGGCAACTTTGGGGGTTTGTTCTTTCCATTTGATTTCATGGTGGTGTTCTTAAGGCAAAGGAGACATCCTGGTTTCCCTTAATTGCACGGCTTCTTCCAAAGGCAAAGATAACCATCCACTGGAGGAGACAGCTTTTGTCCTGTGACCATATCCACCCCACATCTTCCCCTCCTGCTGGGGCTCATTAAAACGGGATATGCCATTGGGTCTTACTTGAGGAACCCATAATCCCATGGAATGGGCTGAGCTCCATGTGGGGGATGCTTGGATAACCTTTGGACAACTGCATTTTATACCTGATTGCTGCTTCCAGTCTGCCTGACAGACCCACAGATGGTATCCATCCACATTTCTGCTAGATACCTCTAAAGAAACCATCAAGAGCTGTCCCAGAGGCTTCAAATGTCTGTTTCTCGCAGCCCACAGCAGTCTGTCAAGTCATGGGTTTGATAGTCAATGGTTTCTGTGAAATCATGAGGGATCCCAATAGAGACAGACTCCACCTCTGTTTTGTAGGTGGCTGTCACCCCCGCTTTGCTGGAGCCACCCCGGATTTTGTTAGAAAGGCTGTTCATCTTCTCCTTCAGCTGGGTGGACGCTGGTTTCTGGAAAGGAGTGAGCATTTTCCAGCCCTTGAAGCTGAGTGTTCGCCTCTTACTGTCTCTCTCCTGGAAGGAGGAGTTAAATATGAAGGAGCTGTTCAGGGTGTTAATCCTGGGCCTCAGATCTGTCTCAGAGTCTTGCACTGAGCTGTTGACAGAGGCCCCTTTCCAGTGGTGGTCATAGACACGCCAGATGGGACGTCTCCTCCGGTGGCATTGGCACTTGAGCAGCCTGATGAACGCTCGCTTGAACTCCTTGCTGGAGCATGGGTAGATGATTGGGTTCACACAGCTATTGAAGTATCCCAGCCAGAAGATGATCTTGAAGACAATTTCAGAGGGCTTCAGAGATGGGAAGAAAGAACCTTGGAAGAGATTAAAAGAAATATGGTTAGAGGAAGGGGAAGGGTATGACAGGGTAAGGTAACAAGGGTGGTGGTCAGTCCAGTCTGGAAGGGGTGAGATGTGTAGAGAAGGCTGAAGGTGTGATGGGCGGCAAGGCAGTGGCACATGTTGCCCAGAAAAGCTGTGGCTGTTCCAGCCATGGAAGTGTTCAGTGCCAGGTTGGATAGGGCTTGAAGCAACCTGGTTTAGTGCAAGGTGTCCCTGCCCATTGCAGGGGGTTGGAGCTAGAGGAGCTTTAAGACCTCTTCCAACCCAAACTGTTCTGTGATTCTGCTATTAAGTCCTTGGCTAGCAACACTGTTGCCACCAGAGTGAAGATCTGGCCCCTGCAGGACTGGAAGACATACATCCTGAAGTGATAATGATGGATGATACTATGAATTTGGCAGGAGGCTCCTAGCCCCCACTGCCAAAGTGCTCCTAGCAATGAATCCAGCACCTTCAAATCAGCTGTGAGCCATTGCGGCAAGCCCATATACCTTGCAGGAGGCTGTTAATTGCTGCAGGATCTACACAGGGATGGTGGGGATGGAGGATTTTTCTTGCACCTTTCTCCATATAAACATCCATCTAACACCTCCCACTCTGAAAATTCAATGTGCACTGTGCTTTGAAGGGGATGCACTCCAGTGGAGTAAGTCCTGGTGCAGAATCCAACATTCCCATGGCCAAAACTGTTTACCTTGCTGTGGGTTCAGCCATCCTGCTCTGAAAGGATACAGGAGACTTGCACCCAAGAGGTAACTTCCACACCAGAGGGCTGGACTGAGACCCGATAGCAGGGGTTGAGGGCATCACTTTGGGGAACAGGTTCAGTGGTTCCCATGCCTCCCTGATTTATCAGCACAAGGCAGCCAAGCCCTGTCCCATTCCACATCAGACAGGGGAAAATGGTGCTGAGCTGATCAGCATGGATCAGTTCTTGATGCCTGCCTCTTCCTATGTGTTGCACTGCACTGGTCACCACTGCAACCTAAAAGGCTGGATACAGCCCTGTCACATGCACTGAGAGAAGAACAACACCCCTTAACCTCCTCCACTCATATATTTTGTGTCATCAGTGTCACACGCCCTCTGTCCAAATATCCACTGCCCCAACACTTGTCCCTGATTTGTAATCTCTCTTGTGCACCCCAACATCTATTTAGGCTTTTGCACTAGAGGTTCCGGGAGCTTTTCTTGGCTTATAAATTGGAGAATTTTTTTTTGGAGCCAGAAGATGTCAGTGTTGCTCCCACATGTCCTCATCACTTAGCATTCCCCACTCAGATCTGAAATAACTTTCTGACTCAGCCTTAATTTCTTTTAATTTTAGCTCTGGATGACAAATCTGCCACCATGTGACTGAGCGTTAATTTGTATTTTAGTAAATAACATTAACTCTGGATATCATTATTATTTTCCCTGTGCTCAAAAGCCTGGTGTCAAAACACTAAAACAGGTGCCAGGAGCCAGAAATTTGTGGCTGACACTACACAAAATCTCCCCAGGCTGTTTGTTGGAGGAAAACCATCATCCAGAAAACCAAGAGCACTGGTTCCAGCAAAGCTTTCTTATACCTATCCCTAAAAAGTGGAGAAATTACAGCCAGACTCAACATTAGGTATGTGGGTTGCTCCATCAGGGGTATGTGGGAGAAGACAGACAGATCCCAGCATGTTCTGATGGGTGGGCAGGGAAAACATAGATGAAAACATGCAGCTTAACTATCTGCTGAAGGCCTACCCAAGTCAGGCTGGAGTACACTCTGGCTGTCAATACAAGTGGAGGCACTGAACAAGGACAGGAAGCAGCACTGATGTGCTAGGAAGACCCAGGGCCTTTGTGGAAAATAATGGCATTTGCAGCTTAATGAGCAGCTGCTGGTGGTGTAGTCAATGGCTTTGAACAGAGCAGTAACAACAGGATTAGGTTTTGTGGAGGCAATGACCCCACCTTGGTTGCTTTTGATTACAGGAATTTACTCTTTCAGGGTCCGTGGTGAGATTTATAGGTTGGCTCTAGGCTGCTTGAACCATCACAATTAAAAGCCCAGTAGGAACAGCGCCCTGAGTGACAGCCAGGAGCTTTAAAACACCCCAGTGGTGCTGGGACCATCCCTCTTTGCACTGCATGTAGCATCTCCTCTGTTCTCCATCCAGCCATAGCTTTGAGCTGTCCCCCTTTCTCACACTGCCCCCAACCTACCACTCTGGACCAATAGGAACTATCGATGCTTCAGGCAATGTGGATCAGCAGTGGCTTTCCAAGCTTGGCATCAATTCCTCTCCTCAGACTCAGGTCTTGGCAATAGTGGTTGGGTCTGTTTTCCTGCCCAGTATTGTCTCTTCATTCCCCATGGAGACACCCTGAGAGAATTGGGATTGTTCAGCCTGGAGAAGAGAAGGCTCAGGGGAGACCTTCTAGCACCTTCCAGTGCCTAAAGGGGCTCCAAGTGAGCTGGGGAGGGACTTTGGACAAGGGCCTGGAGTGACAGGACAAGAAAGAATTGCTTCACAGTGCCAGAGGGCAGGGTTAGATTAGATATTGGGAATAAATTGTTCCCTGTGAGGGTGTTGAGGCACTGGCACAGGTTGCCCAGAGAAGCTGCGGTTGCTCCATCCCTGGAAGTGTTCCAGGCCAGGTTGGATGGGGCTTGGAGCAACCTGGGCTAGTGGAAGGTGACCCTGCCCATAGCCTGGAATTAGGGAGGCTTTAAGGTCCCTTCCAACCCAAACCTTTTTATAATTCAATGATTCTATGATTCCAACTGGGGTCCAGACTCTACCCAGAGCACTGAGCTCTCTGCAAGGTGATCCCTGGCTCTCAGCCCTAGGACACTGCATTGTCCCTCCTTGACCCTGTCATAGCTCAGTGTGAATATTTGGGGCAAAGACAGGTGAAGGATTTCATTAAGCACAAGATCCTGCTCATTATGTTGTTGGGGAGAGGCTCTGTGCCTCAGAGTCCCCACTGGAGAAAGGGGCTAATTACCATGAACTCTTTCACAGTGTAGCTGTGAACCCTGTATGCAGTGCTCTGGGTTCTCAGAGGAGCTGCAGCTTTATGCAGCATTTTTGAGCTTTAAGAGACAGGAAAAGAAAACAAAAAGCTATGGTAACAAAGCAAATAAAAGAAGGGTCTCTTTTTAAATTCAACTAGTAATTGCTGCTTGAGCCAAAGCTACTTAAGAGATTGGTGCTTGCTTAAAATGCCTGATGGTTGCTAAAATAACTTATATCTAGAGTTTAGCAGTTCATTGCACAATGCATTTTCTGTACTACATGCTTTGCCTGTTGCATCCAGACAGAAAACACAAATTGAAAAGAAAAAGAAGCTATGAATTCTCTGAATTTAAACTTTGGCTGGTTGTCACCCACTAGAACCTTGTGTACATCTGAAGACAAGGGGCTCATTACCATCCTCATTACCATGCAAATAAGTGTGCCGGTGGAAGGGACGTGTCCTGAGTGCATCCACAGTTTCCTCAGTTTGTCACACTGCAATGAACAGAACTAGGCAGGGAGTCCCCAGAAACTCCTTGGCTGGTAACTTTGCACATGACAAAGCATCAGGCTCTTGATGGGCACAGGGAGGCTGCACATAAGGAAGGATTGTGGGGTCTTATTTAGGGAATGAGTAAAGAATGGAAGAAATTAGCTCTTGCTTTCATACACATGAATATTCAACACCACTTTGAGGGAGGGAGGGATTTGGGCTGGGCTTTGTAACAGATATATAGGAGCATAGATGTTGTTAGAATGTGTGGAAGATGGTATTGAGTGATGGACACTTGAAGAGCTCAGGAAACACAGGAAGATGCATTCAAGGTCCAGAAATAGAAAATGGAAGTAAAAGATCAGGAATGGCAACACAGAGTGATGCACCAGCACTTTAGCCTGATACCTCAGTATAAGAGCATTTTTGATGATCTGACCCCCAAAGCATCAAAGCCAGAACAGGGCAATATCAAAGAAGAGGGAGAACAATTATGGTAGGACCTGTGGCAGAGTAAAACAGTGAAACCTGGTCTTGTTTTGAAGAGGAACTCTTCCTGGTCACTCAAAGGCAGCTGTCTGGGCACCTGTCCTGGGCATCCAGCTCAACACTTCATGGTAAAGCTTGGTGTTCTTTCCAAAGGAGGAGGCCTTGATGCCTACCTTGGGGACATTCACCTGTGGGGTGGTGTTGGTGTGGTGGGCACTGACACTACCTGCAGCATTTGTGCTGGGATCCAGCAAGCTCCTGCCATGCTGGAGCATTTGGGACCCCAGAGCCTTCACAGGGAGAGGATAATGGAGACCTAGCTTGCCCGTGACTAGGACTGCTGCTTTTGAGGATAGTACTCCCACAGGGAAGTCTCCATCCAAACTAGCCAAATCCACATGTGAAACATAGAGAGAGCCTGAGGAGTAGGGACAGACCTCTGAGGTGCCCTTTCTCCACTATGACTATCTGCACAGGGATGCTCACTCTCCTGGTGGATGGAGGATCCTGGTTATACCTCGGTGTAGGATGCTCCCAGGTAGGGTGGGATGCAGGGCCTCATCCTTTCTATTTTCCATTGCCTTGTTGAGGTCCTGTTGAGAATTTTCTCTTCTCCTAACAAATCAAAATTTGTCATAGCAATGCTGAGAGGAGTGTTAAAGTCCATTTGGGGACTTTATACCTTTCAGCATTTTATAAAACATCATTCCATGTCTTGCAAATGCTGAATCCTACTGACAGAGCTGTGCCTGAGCAAGAGCTGCAGGTCCTGTTGTAACCCTAAATAACTATCACCAGGGTCATTAAGAAATTAAGAAAGCTGCAGGTGAGCTCAGGGAAAGCCTGTTTGCCCCTTGCAAAGTAACTGAAGTCACAGTCTAAATGTGATCTGAAGACTGAACTTCATTTTTTTGGTGGTGTAAAAGTTGAGCCAATAAATTACATGCTCATGCTTTTGTTTTTGTTCCTAGTTAATGTCACTCTGCTCATATTT